TAACACATTTATCTCTTCCTTGACCGAATTAATAAGAGAATATATTCATCATGATTTTCCATACCCTTTGTTCGTCTATTTTTTTCACTCCCACCTTTCTTTATCCAATTATCTGAGCACCTCTTAATACGCAATCTTATAGTTTTATGGATGTTATTTCGGCATCTATATTTTTCCAAGTCAGTGACCTATTTGCCATTATGAAACATTTATTTGAGCGTTTGTTATCACAACTTGTACATTGTCATCACACTATCAATTTGCACCTTTTACTTCTTATATTTGTCTATATAATCTATCCACTGTTATCACTGACTCATAAACGGTCTTGATTAATTTAATAATTTCATAAATGCATATAAATATGAATGTACATTAGAGTAAAGCCTGATAAGGATCTAATTGGAAACAAGATTGTTCACTTATATATGTTGTTCTAAATCAAAAACGAACAAAATAAAATTTCTGATCAGAACGGAGGTTTGTGGACATTGTAGTAATTTTTATTAGTTGAATTTATGAGTCGAGAGGCTGTGACCAATCCATGTCTGGTAGAGACAGGTATCTACCTCGGACAATAGATGTCAGTCAGTCAGTCAGCCGCCCCTAGCTTTCTTCCAACCTACTCCTATACCACTGAACATAGCACGTCAAGGCAGTCGGTCGTTGGGCATACGTAACACGTGTCCCAGCCATCTCAACTGATGAAGTTTCACTACTTCATCAATTGATTTGCCATCCTTACCTAGTACCCGTTTCCTAACAACTGTGTTACTTACTCGATGGTCCCATGATATACGAGCAATGTTTCGAAGACACCTATGATCAAATACTAGTAACCTACGGATATCCTCTACTCTTGCTGGCCATGTTTCACTGCCATAAAGTAGGACGGAACGAACTGCTGCGCAGTAAACACGTCCTTTGGTTGATAGACGGATATCTCGCCTACACCATAAATGACGCAAGTTGGCAAAAGCTAGTCGAGCCTTCTGTATCCGTGCTGCTATTTCGTAACACACCAGACCACAAGAGCTGATGAAACTTCCAAGATAGGTGAAGCGATTGACACGCTCAACAACTTCACTCCCTATCATTAGTCCGGGTGTCGATGCAACCCAATCCTGAAGCAACATTTTGCATTTCGAGGGGGGAGAATCGCATCCCGAATATGCTTGCACTGTTGCTTACGATGGTCAGAAGACTCTACATTTTGTCAGAGTCTTCACCAAATATAACTATGTAGTCGGCATATTCTAGGTCAAAAAGTGAATCTCCCGGTAGAAGTTCAATCCCTGGAAATCTAGATGAGGAGAGTGTTATCTCTAAAAGTACGTCGACCACAAAGTTGAACAAGAATGGGGAGAGTGGACAGCCCTGACGAACACCACTTGAGGTAATCAATTCTGATGACAGTTCGCCATAAGCTCTCACCCTATCAGTTGTGTTCGAGTAGAGAGCCTTTATAAGGTTAATGTACTTCTTCGGTACTCCTTTCAGTGACAAACACTGCCATAGAACCTCACGATCAACAGAGTCGAATGCCGCCTTAAGGTCGAGAAATACTACCATTGTGGGGCGTCTGAATATGTCTATGTTCTAGGACCTGACGTAGTGTGAATATCTGATCTATACAACCACGTGCAGGTTGAAAACCAGCCTGATTTTCTCTAGTCTGCTCTTCACGAGCTTTGATTAGGCGTCGAAGTATTATTGAAGCTAATATTTTAGACGCTATATTAGTCAAACTGATTCCTTTGTGATTGTCACAAGGGGACTTTTGTCCATTCTTATAGACTGGCACAATCAGTGATTGAGACCAGTCAGATGGGATTACGTCCAGCTCCCAAATCCTACCTAAGACCTCGGTTAATCTCATTGCTAATACTGGACCACCATCCTTAAAAATCTCAGGAGTAAACCTGTCAGGGCCTGCTGCTCTCCCTCGTTTCAGATTTCCTATGGCTTTTTCAACTTCGTAAAGGGACGGAGGACCTACATTAACTTGCCATTCAGGTTGACTAGAGATCGTGGGAAACCGAAGTGTGGCTGAAGGCCAGTTGAACTGATCCCTAAAGTGTTCTGCCCATCGATCCAATCTCCTGGATTGAGAATGAATAATATGTCCATCTTTCTCTGAGATTGTTTCGCTAACGGTCGGGTTCCTAATTCCGCTTTCCTTAACGAGTCTGAACAATTGTCTGCTATTACCTATTGCCGCTGCCTTTTCCATCTCTCTTGCTTTCGCTACCCACCACTGTTCGCGATCATTGCGTAGACTTCTTGTCAGCTTGCGCTTAAGCTGACTCCGCTCTTCATTATGTTCAGAGCCAGGTGGAATGAGTTTCCGAGCATCTATCAGTGAGATAGATGCTGCTGAGATCCAGTGTTGCTCCCTAACCTTCTGGTTTACCTTACTAGCAGATATCACTGCTGTTTCCACAGCTTTTCGGATATCAATAGATGAATGGTTGCGCAAGATCGTGAATCGATTGAAGTTAGACATTAACATCATTGGATGACAGCTCAGTGGTCTACAGGTTATGGGGCTTGCGCGAGAGACCGATGGTCCCTGATTCGCGTCCTGCATGTGGGATCGTGGATGTGCACTGCTGAGGAGTCTCGTGCTAGGACGAAACGACCGTCTAGTGCTTCTAGGTCTTTAATGGTGGTCTAGCTTACATCGACTCATGAATTTAGCTATTAAAAAGGAAAACTTAACAAGTAAGATTCAGATAATCACATCCCCAGTTGTTAGTGATAAAGCTTCATCATTTAGCTATATTGAAGGCATTCAGAGGAACAATTACAGTAAGAATTTAAGCAACACATGACTATTAAATTGATATAAGCACTCGATTAGTTATTTGGACAAGACTAGCTACAATTTGATTTTTATATTCCTCTATAATTTCACTATATTATAATGGTATAATACATATAATGTAGTTTCTAATAGCCTTAATCTATTTCCAATCAATGAGAAACATTTTCACGTGTTAGAACAAAACCAACCTAAAAATTGGATAATAATTAAGACTGATTCGAACTTCAGATTACAAATATTAAAATAAATAGTTGAGAGAAGATAAATTAAAATTATTAAACGAAAAATTGTACTTTTTTCAATTAGCTATTAAGATAACTTTTTTTATCAATAACCATTTGTTTCGATCAATATGATCAATAAGAAAAGCTTAATTGTCACAAACTGTAGAAATTTTACCGGTAAATTTGAAGGTTCCTTTTATTAAAACTAAGTAGTTAAAATAAAATACCCACCCCTCCCCCTCCCACCAGAAAAAAGACAAAGAAACATGGTTACAAAGTAAAAGAAAATATTATGTTTAAGAATAATTAAGCATTAAATAACTTAATATCATAGCCAACTTTTTTCATAGTAACATTTATTAATCTTTACCTGTACTTCAGGATTTTTATGTCCGACACAATCATCCAAGAATTCACGCCAAACTTCTGACGGTACAAAAATAATATGACAAAGAAATAAAATAATAAATTTAATAGACATACACCCAATGTGCTGGATTTCGCATTTGATAGATATCTTGCACAGTATTTGGAAAGTATATTAAGGATAAGGTGGTGCATGATCATCTATACATGCTAGCAAAATTGGCAAACACGATCACTCAATAACATCTTCTTACTAGTTAAACGAATAATATGCGAGTACGTACTAGTAAAATAACTGGATCCAGTAAATACAAACGTACGCGCTATACGTCCCGTAATAATAAACTTCAAATATATTTGAAGTGTTTTATTATAACTCACCTAGAAAATACTCGTTTATGCACTCGGCCATGTACAATACTATTCGTGTGATGGTTAGAGGTACTGCCCAGCTTCTTAAACCCAAGTAGGTAAGGTGGAGTTTAGACCTATGAAATAAGTTGAGGGTTGAACGTTTGAACTGTTGAGTTTCCAATCCTACCAAGTACGTCTCAGTAAAGAATGAAATAAAATTAACTTGACTGTAAACAGAGATGTGTAATTCACTATGATGATATGGATAATGTTCTATATCTTCTAAGTAGTTTTTATTTTGAACTGAAGATATTCAGAGGACAGTGAAAACCAGGGAAAACTGTACAGCGATTTCAATGAAGTTTGGAATTTCTTAGATATGCTCACACAAGATACCATATGGTATCAAGCACAGAAACATACGGTCTCGCGACAACCAAAATACCGGAATGTAATGTACCGTACTTTCCGATTCGGCCCATTTTTCATTTGACATGATACTCCTATAATACAATCGATAAGATACTGATTCACTTCCGACTTGCTGACTCTATATTTTATTGTCGCCTATAAGAATTTATGGTAATCTATCTTAAATGTAGTCGCCAAACAAAATATGATAATTATGGCCGAGCGATGTTAGTCTTGGAGACTTTTAAGTATGTCGAATGTCAAAATTCCGAACCAAATCGAAAAAAAAGTTATAATAAGTATAGGAAAAACTCACCAATAATTGGATCATCATGAAACGGTAATCTGGCCATTGCACACTTCTGAATAAAATGAGCAGTTGCCTTTCGAATTAATTCACCACTTAGACCACGAAATTTGTTCGCTCTTTTAAGCTGAGTAAAAGAAAACGATAAAAGTGATAAAGCTTCTTTCATTAGTAACTAAACACACAAATGATGGACAAATTGAACGCATAACGCATGAAATAAATATCCATACTATTCTGGAAAATGTATTACGTGAAGAAAAGTTGTGAGAGATTCATTTTTGCTTTCAAAAACAATATATTAAGAAATGGTCAACTGAGGGCGCAACTCATTAATCACACAATTATCTAAACAAAACTGCATCACTGAAAACCATAGCTATCATTATGATACAACCTTGTGTTAGGATAGTCGGAAAAAGTCCAATGGTGTCCTTGGACTTTAAATGTCGGGACCAATCGAGACTCTAGGCCGTCCGTACGTGTTTTCCGTGTCACTATCACAGAAGCGATCGATAAATACGCTGCGTATCAAAAACCTGCAGTCACACCCGTTACAACAATTGGCGACGGGGTAGAGAAAATTTTGAACCCTGTAATTGGACAAGATTCAGCCTATCTATTTTGACCAATCAGTATCCAGATTTGTCATCGGCGTCCTCGGGAGTCATTGGTTGTTAATTGATTACAGTATTTCTTATTACCCTGCTGACTCAGAAAATGACTCTCCTTCCCGATCAGTTGCAGCTACTACTAGATCGCCAGCAGCAGCGTTTCAGAGAAAGCCAGTTGAATGTTTTGGACTATTTACGCACGCGACTGCTAGATCTCCCATGTTTCGGAGATGTGAAAGAAACTGGTGAATTCATTTCTCACTTACATACTGAACTCGAGAATGACTGCAGGACATATGAAGATGAAAACAAAAGCCTCTATGAATCCCTTATGATCAGTAATGCAAACGAGGCAGTCGCTAATGATCCGTCCAGCGATCCGGGAATGTCCAGTCCAGAAGCATGCCCTGTTGTGGGTTCAAATCCCACTGTTCCTGAAACGTGTACAGACAGTGATGTACCCAGCTCACAGGAAGAAGATCTCTCATTAAATGCTCATAAATTAATTACAGTGCCCTCTCACAAAGAAACAGGAAACAAATCGTACAGTATACTGAGTCTAGCTGCTCCAAACGGTCCTCATCAGTCAACAACAGGAGATTTTGATAAATCTTATTATCTAGATCCTCTTGTACCAGAAAATGTGTTAGATGCCACAAATGATGATCAGAAGTTTAATACAATTTTGATAGATGTTAATTATCCTAATGATCGACTATCCACAAATGAGATTTTCAAGGAATTCTATGGTAATGTTCCAGAAGAATCGAAGGTTGATGACCTCATATCAAGCGACGTTGGTTCACACTACTTAATCACTTTTAATGACTTCTCTGTTCCATGTGACAATTATGTGTTAAATAAAGTCAAATTAATTTTAACTTGGGGATATGAGGACCCAACATTATTTCGTGGGGGAGGATGAACCCAGAAAATTTTAAAATGCAGATACGATCTCCGGATCTTTCAAAAAAAAGGGGGAGGTGTTAGGATAGTCGGAAAAATATACCAATAATTATTGTGTTAAGTCTACGGTGGCCTTGGACCTTAAATGTACATTTCCTATTGGTCGATGTTTACTTCACTTGTTAAATATTTTGTAAATGTTGTTTCCTATTTTATGGTACGATGTGGTTTGTTTGCTTGGTATATAAATAGAGTATGTTTGAAATACAATGATTCATAACTCAGAGGCTGTGACTTTTGTTCTAGACTCAACTGGCTGGGCTAGACAGGGAAGCGGGACCAATCGAGACTCTAGGCCGTCCGTACGTGTTTTCCGTGTCACTATCACAGAAGCGATCGATAAATACGCTGCGTATCAAAAACCTGCAGTCACACCCGTTACAACACCTTGACAGAAGTTTTTTTCGTAACCAAATTTCAGTTTACGACAAAATAATCGAGTTGAACGGAGAGACAATAGAGGATGCGTACGCTAATGTCCAGCAAAGCTCTAAACAGCCTTTAAAAAAGCGGTAACAGAATTTCGGTATTACAAACAGGATCAGTGGAAACATTTGCATTAAGTTCATCAGCTAAATGGGTTTCCTATTAACAGACACTATTACCAACCAATTACATATCAGTGGTAGTAAAATACTGGATATACAGAATACTATCCGAGAAAAAAACAAGTTCGCGAAATAAAAAAGTAAAAAATTAGTCTTGCAATTCAGGATCTAAGGACAGACGAAGAGTACATTAATATGTGCGATTGTGATCGACTATTAGCCCTGTCATTCGACGCTGCTCACCGATGGTCACGATAATTGCGTATACTTTCAACCAACATGGTTCGAAATAACAGATAATGGCTTCGAGGACTGATGACATGCTTTTGGTTTGGCTGCTCCTAACCAAATCTGGAGCTCCCCTGATGCTACTGCTGGTCCCAAGCCCGGATAAAGGAGGAGGGTTGGTCATGGGGTTAGCGACCCCATCCCGTAGAAAACTAACTCACTAAAACAATACCTACCAAAAAAAATTATTCGAACCTTCTAAACTCTGCCCTGGGAGTCAGAAGGTTTTCATTTAGAAGAACTATGACGCCTCATGATGAAAGTCGAGTTCCTTCGGAAGTCACGAGGTCGATGCCCCTTCTGACAACCAGACCAACCATTTATTTAGGTACATGGAATAGTCGTACAATGTGGGAGACCGGGAGAGTCTTCCAAGTTGCTGCAGAAATGAGGAGATACAACTTAGAGGTGCTTGGGATCACTGAAACACATTGGATGCAAGTTGGACAACAACGACTAGCTTCGGGGGAGCATCTGTTATACTCCGGCCATGATGAAGAAAATGCACCACATACACAAGTAATTGCATTGATGCTGTCCAAACAAGCACAAAATGCACTTATAGGATGGGAATCTCATGGACCAAGGATCATCGAAGCCTCATTCAAAACAAAGAACGAAAACATTACAATGAACATCATCCAATGCTATGCGCCTACCAACAACCACAATGAAGACGCTAAAGATCAATTCTACAATAGGCTGCAGTCAATCATCGAGAAGCGCCCAACAGAGGACTTGACCATTCTCATGGGAGACCTAAATGCCAAGGTTGGAATGAACAGCACCGGTTATGAAGACATTATAGTGTGGTGAACAATAACAGCGGTGGGGACAATCTAATATATCTAACACAAAATTACAGGACTTGTTAATAAAATCTAGCAATCATAAAGTAAATGCCTAATTTGCAAAATGTCCACCAATTGTCTCAAAATGACTTCATTGTTCTTGCATCATCATACAAATTGCATCCTGTTTTCATTCTTTACTGTTCGATCCTCTTGTCTCTCTGCTGCCAGACCTTCCGTTCACGACAAACAACATATACTACTTATGTCAATATAAGTAGCACACACCACAATGGGACGACATGGACTGGGAGAAAGGAACGAAAATGGTGAGAGATTTTCAAACCTATGTGCCTTCAACAAACTGGTCATAGGCGGCACTATATTCCTACATAAACGCATGTACAAAGCCAGGTGGATTTCACCGGACCACACTACACAGAACCATATCGACCATAGAAGTCCAGGAGGACGATGGAGGACGTGAAAACCAAGAGTGAAGTTGATATAGCATCAGATCAACACTTGCTGGTCACCAAGATGAGACTGAAACTCAAGATGCACTGGACAACAGGGCGGACAACATCACAAAAGTTTAATACGGCTTTTCTTCGGGATACTGACAAACTCAACAAATTCAGGATAACCCTCAGCAATAGGTCCCAGCCCTTTCATGATCTACTCATTGGAGATGGAACTACTATGGAGAGCAACTGGAAAGTGATAAAAGAGGCAATTACTTCAACATGTCATGAGGTTCCGGGCCACAAGGATCACCACCACAAGGAATGAACCATTGTTGATACACTGGATAAGATTCGAGAAAGGAGGAACAAGAAAGAAGCAATCAATACCAGCCGAACAAGAGCAGAAGAATCCAAGGCACAAGCTGAATACAGAGAAGTAAACAAACAAGTGAAGAGGAGCATTAGAACCGACAAACGTAAATATGTGGAAGATTTAGCGATGACGGCAGAAAAGGCTGAAAGAGGAAACATAAGAACTGTATGACATAACAAAGAAACTCTCTGCAAATCACCGTAAACTAGAACGACCAGTGAAAAGCAAGGAAGGCAAGGTAATCGCAAATATTGAAGAACAACGAAACAGGTGGGTAGAATCGACCAGCCCCACTGAACCCATCCAACACCGAAGCAGCACCCACGGACCTCCCAATCGATGTTGGCCCACCAACAATTCAAGAGATCAGCATGGCCATCAGACAAATCAAGAGTGGCAAAGCAGCAGGACCAGACAACATTCCAGCAGAGGCACTGAAAGCAGACGTAGCAGTGACTGAAAGGATACTCCGAATTCTATTCAGCAAGATTTGGGATGAAGAACAAGTACCAGCAGACTGAAAAGAAGGACACCTGATCAAGATACCAAAGAAAGGCAATTTCAGCAAATGTGATAACTACAGGGGCATCACTCTTCTCCCAATACCAGGGAAAGTCTTCAACAGGGTACTGTTGAACAGAATGAAGGACACCGTAGACGCCCCATTTCAAAATAAACAGGCAGGATTCCGTAAGGATCGATCATGTACAGACCAAATCGAAACACTGCGGATCATTGTGGAACAATCAATTGAATGAAATTCATCACTCTACATCAGTAGTAAGTCTCAACATGCACAAAGGGAAAAGCAAGATTCTCCGATACAACACAACATGCAACAATCCAATCACACTTGACGGAGACGATTTGGAAGATGTAAAAACTTTCACATATCTGGGCAGAATCATTGATGAACACGGTGGGTCTGATGCAGACGTGAAGGCGCGGATCAGCAGAGCAAGACCAGCATATTTATAAATGAAGAACATCTGGAACTCAAAACAACTGTCAACCAACACGAAGATCAGAATTTTCAATGCAAATGTCAAGACAGTTCAACTGTATGGGGAGGAAACCTGGAGAACTACGAAAGCCATCATCCAGAAGATACAAGTGTTTATTAACAGTTGCCTACGCAAAATACCTCGGATCTGTCGGCCAGACACTATCAGCAACAACCTACTGTGGGAGAGAACAAACCAGATCCCAGTAGAGGAAGAAATTAGGAAGAAGCGCTGGAAGTGGATAGGACACATGTTGAGGAAAGCAACCAACTGTGTCACAAGAAAAGCCCTCACTTGCAATACTCAAGGTCAAAGAACACACTACGTCGAGAAATGGAGACAGACATGCGAAGAATGAACAGAGATTGGATAGAACTAGAAAGGAAGGCCCATGACAGAGTAGGTTGGAGAATGCTGGTCGGCGGCCTATGCTCCATTGGGAGTAACAGGCGTAAGTAAGTAACGTTTACCCAAATTACTTCTATCCATCAATTCAGGCATACGTAACACATAGCCCAACCACTTCAATCGATAAGGACCAACAAACTTATCAACCAATTTACTATACTTGTCCAACACCCTACATTGAACTTCATGATTGCTCACTAAGTGGTCCCAATATTCACAGGTAATGCTTTGAAGACACTGATCGAATTCCCAGTAATCGACCTGTTGTTAATAACACAAATTTACATCAGACAAACTTAAACAGAATTTCATCAAACAATCTCCTGACTCAACTCCCATTATGTTGCGCGATAAGATGATTATCAAAAATTTAGTGACAAAAGAAGCACTGAGCGAATCTTTTCAATCATTGAAGAAGTGTTTTTCTTCCAATTTAGGATAATACAAACCTTCGCAAATAGAATTATACCCAAGTATTAATCACAAAAGTAACTTAATTTACAACTCCACACTATTGCGGATGAATCCCTTTTAAAAGTGTTTATTTCACATTCACCTCTATTTTTAGAGGTGGCTGATCAGCATACTACATTCCCCCTAAACTGTGTAGCTGATAACTTGAATGGAGTGCAACAGCTTACAGTTAATGTCCTTTTGATACTGATTTTCATCACTTGCTACGATATTATTCGGATAACAGAAATCCAAGTACTTCTATGAAGCGATTTCTATGAGCTTATGATGTCTCACGAGTTATGTACTTAATCATTCCTAGATCTATAGTGATTGTCCTATTCCATTTTAAAACCACACGAATGATTTTGAGGTTCGGTGAACAATGATTGAAAATAACGAAGATCGTGATACACTTGGGGAATCAAAGTCGGTGACCACCTGTTAATTCGTGCTCTACATAAGCTGTAAGCCCTTAAAGTCATCTAACAATCTCGGTTTTCTTTGTCCTCAATTCCTTTCTCCTGTTATCATGAGTGTTTCGAATTTTTACTCTCGAATTTAAAAAAGACATAATCTTGGGGTTACACACAATCAGTAACAAGAATAATAAAAAGTAAAACCTGACTAAAAGTATGACCATTTGTTACTATTATTATTGCCATCATTACTATTAGCACTATTATTAGTATTTGTTACGCCCTCTACCCGATTACGGTAAGAATACGGTATACAACTATCAGCACTCGGACGTATAGAACCCCTACAGTCACAAATCAAACGAGCGAAGAAAGGGAAGCGATTATCAGGTCAAGTCAAAAATGTACAGAAGAACAGGGGTATTTACAGTTTTAGTATAAACTATAAAATCATTATAACTCAGCCTATCCGCAAGTAGGAAAGTTATACAATTGTCTAATCATAGAATGTCACGTTGATGTTCTAGAAGGTTCTGTCAGATTCTGATTGAATAGAATCTCTTCGGCTCCTTTAGAGCCCCTGGAGACTTCGTCGTACTTTTGGGAGCCTTCCCAACAATATCATTAATATTATTATCATTGCCATTATAGTTATTACTAGCATTGTTACTAACACTACCAGTATTTAGCCACCTTACATTTAGGATATATCTTCATGTCCAAAAGATTCACAAAAAAATGCAAAACAATATGTAATAAGCATTATTGAGAATGGAAATTCAACTTACTGCTGGAACAATTTCCTTAATCTTGAGTAGATTTTCCTCATTTATAACATAACTGAAAAAATAAAAGAAATAATAACAGTAGGATATGATATGTAAAAATAATAATTAAATTCAAGAATACTGTTTCTCATTTGATTTCAATCCAGATGAATTGTTGGTGTGATTATAGTAATTGTTTTACGTAAAAAAATCAGTCTATTTGAAGATATATATATTTGGGGTTATATACAACAGATTGGTGTATTGTTACAAATTGGTTTATTGCTTCACAACCTATAAATAAGATAATCACCAATGATTACGTAACTGTAATTCAACCTTTAAGTTATTTATTAAATGTAACATTCAAAATGAAAATCTTCTAGACGGAACGGGATATAAATGATCAATCAGTAATTATCTTATTACTCAGTGACAGAAAAGAAGACTAAAACGTTGGAACTGACAACTCAAAATGCCGCTACACTGTACAATAAACTATTCTGATAAATCCTCAATATTTATCGGTTGGATTTTTAGCATGTATACGGATATATAAAAAATTTCGTCTAAATTTGATCGAATAGTTTCACAGTATTTGGGTGCCGAGTTAATGTTAGACATTAAAGAGCAAGAATGTATTTGTAAAATCTCAGTGAATGAATTTGAAGTTAACACAACGTTTCGCCTGGCAACCTTGTCCAAGCTTTTTCAAGGAAATATAATCAAACATCAAAATTATCGAATATAAATAGGTATATGGTTCTCCGGTTCACTGTATACTGAATAGGCCATCTACTCAACGTTAACAATGTTTGAAGTATGTATTTGCATTAGTGTGTAAGCGACATGTAGTGTGAAACAAAAAGTGTTGAGACAACAGATTGTGTGTATACGCAAGTGGTGTGAGAAGCAATTTCTCTGGTTGGTGGATTTTAAGAAAACATATAAGTTTATATATGATATAAATAAAAAATTCACTGACCAGAGAAATTGCTTCTCACACCACTTGCGTATACACACAATCTGTTGTCTTAACACTTTGTTTCACACTACATGTCGCTTACACACTAATGCAAATACATACTTCAAACATTGTAGGAAGCAATTTCCCACAGATTCAACTCTAAGCTAATCTCTAGACTGTCGAGTACAGAGTCTTGGTTTAGCCAAAGTCAGAACAAGCAAGCTATTTGGCTAGATAAACTTTATCTATTTCTAAAACATAAATTAACATCGTTAGTGTACAAACAAACAGTACGGTCTATTAATACAGGGAAAAACAGAGACAAATAACATACCGAACAGTAGCCAGAGAATAGGAAAAATGAGTCAACAAGCCAATATTGTTTTACAATGAACATTAAACTGTGATTGGTTAATAAAGAGATACAGTCGTACAAGGTCAAAAGGAGTTGATGTGGTGGTGGGCGTTTCCCTTATTATTGGTGGGTTCGTCTATCAATCACATTTTACACTCCCCCCGAAACGCTCACCACGTCCGTTGTCCAGGGTCATCGTCGCCGTCAGACAGCCGGCTCGTTCTAGTAGACATAAGCGTCGTACGTCTCGAGCAGTTTCTTCGTTTGCAGTTCTCAATTTTGCCGTACGAACTTGTCCGTCAAAGCCATAGCTTACTTGTTCAACAATAGCTTTGGACCATAGACTTCTCAGTGAGCCAACATTGTTTAATAACACTAAGTCTCTCGAAGACTCATCCATCAATACCTTCTGAAACAATAGTGATCGCAGAATTCTTCTTATCGACTTTATGATGCGTCCCCATACACCGTCTCGTTGACTAGACCTCGGAAGTTTAAAGCGCCATTCACAACCTCTCTCAAAAAGGGCATTTACTGTCTTATTCTGATTCCAACTACACATGATCTGTCTAAGAATAGCATTGGATCCTATAGAACTACCAGATGCACCCTTACTCTTGTTCACAACTCGTACAAGGGCGCCTTTCTCAACACCATCCTCGATACCACTGCGAATATGTGCTACCTTCTTCTTCAGGGTCTTAGTTACTGGCTTCTTCGTTACAGTGGTCTTCGGCTTTTTCGTAGTCTTCACTTCAAGAGATTACCTATGTTGCGCAGGACGGTACCAACGACGTCTCAAATGAAATCCTGGTGTTGAGAAAGGCGCTTTTGTACGAGTTGTGAACAAGAGTAAGGGTGCATCTGGTAGTTCTATAGGATCCAATGCTATTCTTAGACAGATCATGTGTAGTTGGAATCAGAATAAGACAGTAAATGCCCTTTTTGAGAGAGGTTGTGAATGGCGCTTTAAACTTCCGAGGTCTAGTCAACGAGACGGTGTATGGGGACGCATCATAAAGTCGATAAGAAGAATTCTGCGATCACTATTGTTTCAGAAGGTATTGATGGATGAGTCTTCGAGAGACTTAGTGTTATTAAACAATGTTGGCTCACTGAGAAGTCTATGGTCCAAAGCTATTGTTGAACAAGTAAGCTATGGCTTTGACGGACAAGTTCGTACGGCAAAATTGAGAACTGCAAACGAAGAAACTGCTCGAGACGTACGACGCTTATGTCTACTAGAACGAGCCGGCTGTCTGACGGCGACGATGACCCTGGACAACGGACGTGGTGAGCGTTTCGGGGGGAGTGTAAAATGTGATTGATAGACGAACCCACCAATAATAAGGGAAACGCCCACCACCACATCAACTCCTTTTGACCTTGTACGACTGTATCTCTTTATTAACCAATCACAGTTTAATGTTCATTGTAAAACAATATTGGCTTGTTGACTCATTTTTCCTATTCTCTGGCTACTGTTCGGTATGTTATTTGTCTCTGTTTTTCCCTGTATTAATAGACCGTACTGTTTGTTTGTACACTAACGATGTTAATTTATGTTTTAGAAATAGATAAAGTTTATCTAGCCAAATAGCTTGCTTTGAGATTAGATGGTGGTTGAAGGTAGTCAACAGGAAACCCTGGACCCGGGTTTCGTGCTACTTGGCACTCGTCAGCAAGGTGTACCTGTAATCTTGAGGGAACTGGTGCTCCCTGGCGGATTCGACCTCGTGTCACCCAGCTTCACAGTCAGAGACGTTACCACTGAGCTATCCGAGCCGTGACTAACCTCCTGTAGGACTGAGATGTAATCACAATTGATTGATCACTGGGTGGTGATCAATCTCATGCTTGTCTAGTCCTTATTAGTGCAGATCGAATGCTATCGATCATGTTGCAATGTGGCCACCAGTCTAGGTGACTCGACACTGCGGGCACTATGTATTGAGATTAGATGGTGGTTGAAGGTAGTCAACAGGAAACCCTGGACCCGGGTTTCGTGCTACTTGGCACTCGTCAGCAAGGTGTACCTGTAATCTTGAGGGAACTGGTGCTCCCTGGCTGACGAGTGCCAAGTAGCACGAAACCCGGGTCCAGGGTTTCCTGTTGACTACCTTCAACCACCATCTAATCTCAATACATAGTGCCCGCAGTGTCGAGTCACCTAGACTGGTGGCCACATTGCAACATGATCGATAGCATTCGATCTGCACTAATAAGGACTAGACAAGCATGAGATTGATCACCACCCAGTGATCAATCAATTGTGAAATAGCTTGCTTGTTCTGACTTTGGCTAAACCAAGACTCTGTACTCGACAGTCTAGAGATTAGCTTAGAGTTGAATCTGTGGGAAATTGCTTCCTACAATGTTTGAAGTATGTATTTGCATTAGTGTGTAAGCGACATGTAGTGTGAAACAAAGTGTTAAGACAACAGATTGTGTGTATACGCAAGTGGTGTGAGAAGCAATTTCTCTGGTCAGTGAATTTTTTATTTATATCATATATAAACTTATATGTTTTCTTAAAATCCACCAACCAGAGAAATTGCTTCTCACACCACTTGCGTATACACACAATCTGTTGTCTCAACACTTTTTGTTTCACACTACATGTCGCTTACACACTAATGCAAATACATACTTCAAACATTGTTAACGTTGAGTAGATGGCCTATTCAGTATACAGTGAACCGGAGAACCATATACCTATTTATATTCGATAATTTTGATGTTTGATTATATTTCCTTGAAAAAGCTTGGACAAGGTTGCCAGGCGAAACGTTGTGTTAACTTCAAATTCATTCACTGAGATTTTACAAATACATTCTTCCTCTTTAATGTATACTGATATAATTGTTGATTATTTTATCATCAGTGACAACATTCTCCAGGACTAATCTAAACTTGGTTTTGATTTCATTGTGTAACAGAGAATAGTCAATAAAAAAATCAAACTTATAATTTATAGTCACAAGAATATTGTCTTCATTTGTTAAACTAGATATTGTAATTGTCTCTGCATTATGCCTAGAATCCTTCCCCTCTACATACAGTTAAATCCCCAACTTGTAATTGTCACCACATATATTGGACATAAATATAAACATCGATTTCTTACAAAAATGTAGTTTCGTAAGTTGGAAAACTGCATCGACGAATTACATTTAGAAAACTTTGATTAAAGATTAAATATTACAAAGAATATTCTGTCGACAAACACTGTCAAGTAAAATTTAATGAAGCGACCAAAGTTTATTTTATTTGAATGTTATTCAGAAAATGACTAACGTAAATTAAACAATGATAGACTGGCGTATACATATGCATATAGCATAAAATAATTCAGTGAACCTAAACCAGTACTATTTTCCTCGGTTTCACTGATTTAACAACGATTGATCAACATATATAATAACAAATGTTACAAATAAACGGTCACACAATAGCACATATAAATAGTACAATCAGTAAACCACTAACCTGGATGATGCACATAACAATTCACCTGTTCCAAATATACACCCTTGTTGATTGTGTAGAGTAGATTTAATTGAACCATTGATGATCTGAGGCAAGACTTAAAAGCAAATGAATACTTCTTATTACTTAATAAGGGTAAGAAAAGATAACTTAAAATTTAGATTATTGACTGTTTTCACAGTTCTAGTTATGTCTGATAGCACCTCAAGTAGCTTAGTTGAATAATTTTCAGGATCCCATAAAAGGAAACATAACGTATCAGTTGAATACGAAACAAAATACGTAGCCTTCACTCTAACCCTATGTAATGACTAATCCTCGTAACTTTTTAGGTGTAACTATAGCTTTTTACTTCATAAGTAGGAAGCATACTAGATTTGAGCTGATAGTTACAAGTAATTTGTCTCAATGAATACATTATAAAGAAAGACAGTACCATACAATCATTTTTAGTTTTCGCCTATACATATACTGGTGGGTTTTACTAAACGTTGTTAGTCTTATATGATGTGTAATAAATGGGCCTGACAAACAGGTCTTGATTGATTGGAGAGTGAATGACATACAAGTTAAGCTCCTTCTAATACCCCATAACAATTTATTATCTTTATTTCATGTTCCTATTTTGTATATAAGCATGTCATATTATTAAACAAAAAGACCTATTCTTCTGACTAATGATATTGTCTATATTTCCAAAACATTTAGGGGGTATGAGTCGATAATCCGGTCCCTAGAGCAACCACCACTCAACCATATTGTATCATTTATTTATCTAACTATTTATTTGAACACAAATATTGGAACAAAGGGGTGCAGAATACATATGCACCACACAAGTCACTTGATTTGTGTGTGGGCTATGATACTACCCGGGTGCCCAGACCGAAGCAGGTGGTTTTCTCAGGGGGCCACACCCGTAGCCTTTGACCTAAAGGTCTGATCCACAGGGCAGCGGGGAAACGCCAGGAGATGCAGTCCCATGGTAGCCGGTGACCAAAAATTGGTTCATACACCATTTGTTCCTTTAGGATCCTGGAGCCCATGTTCACCATTGGTTTGGAATCAGGGCCTTCCAACTCCCCCAGGGTGGACCCTCCATATCGTCGATCGATCAGTATTCTACTCAATGATAATGAGCGAACAATCACTTATCAAATCACGAAATCCTCCTACATAAAACAATGATATTAAGAAACCAAGCGTATGGAATCAGTTATACTAGTTCCCATTCAAATCATCATTGATAAGAACACAAGAAGCCACATTATAAACAAATTAGCTAGCATACCTTATTGATCCTACTGAATAGCAATTAAGTAATTTCAGAATAACGACTGCTAGTTCAAAGTATTATGAAAGACAATAACCCAGACGAAAGGAAATAGTGAGCGCACTAAAACAGTATTGAGATGTGATAGTTAATGTACTCAATTATCAGTCAGTCGTGTGTTGTTACGGGTATGAGGGCTGATGTCACTTCCCGGCTGCCCACACCCTGGAAGGGTAGTTCTTGAGGAACTTGTAAAGGAAATTGGATTAGTGTTGGTCTTGACGACCTGGGAGCGTGGCCGCAGAGCCCAAGGGACAACTAGTTGAGGCCGGTCGCGCACGGCCTTTTTGTGGGAGGTTTTTGACGTGTTAGCTCCGTTCTTCAAAGGGCCTTACCGCCGGAGACGGAAATCCGTGAGGTAAGGTGAGGTGTGACATTTTTAGGGTCGACCTTTTCTAACCCCACCCCTCCTTGTGGGAAGGCAGCATCGCTGTCATGCTGGTTGTCCGAAGGAAACACCTTACTGCTGTCACACCTCTCTACAGTCAGCAGTACGACTTCGCCCTCAGACCTTGAGTTGTTGCTTTTAGTCTTACCGTTCACCAATCGACCTGCCTGGCATGGTAGAACCTACAGGAACATATGTTCCAGCCAATATAGCTCGGTTGGGTCATCACGGTAGGCAAGCCCGACCACCGCATCAAGGTAGCAGCTTCGGTCGGGACTCAATTATCACCCGTATAATACTAGTAAATATGGCTTTTATAAAATCTAGCACAGTCAAACGTGTAACTTATTGACTGACTATTACAATATGAGATCAAACAAATACACGATTATAATAATCCGATGAATAAACTATACTATTTAACGATGAAATTAAATTAAACCTTAATATTATAATTAAGTCTGAATCACTCGAAGAACTAGTCAATACGGTAATACATTTACAGCATGTAAAGAATGGCAAAATAAGCATAATTATACGCAGAAAAGATTGTAGGAAATGTTTACTAGGATAAGATAAAACTCACCAACTTCCATCATGTAATCAGGATCAGCTATGTATAGTTTGCCTAAAGCACAAGCAGCCAGATATCTGATTGAATCATCCCAATGTCCAAGACGAACATTGACCAAATGACCAATCATAGGTTCTACATATTCTTTAAATTTAGCTACAGACACACTGAATAATAATTTCAAGAAATATATTTAATCATTAGTACAAAAACAGTAGAAATAAAAATTGTATAGGTTGAACAAGGGTACTAACTATGTAATAACTTATCAAGTTAGCTACCTTTTTATTTTCATGAACGTTTAACCACCAGCGTCTGAGGTAAATCATTTCCCAAAAACAGTTTTGTGTACTAGACTCTAAGTCGCATTTTGTGTGGTTAGCAATATTACGCGATTACCAAAACCAGTGTTGGTGGTAGAGTAGGAGAAAAGATATATAGGAAAATCCACATTGCTTTACGTCAATCTGGGGCATTTTCAGTCAAGTTGTGATGTCAGTCCGGTTACAAAACATCATTGTTGTGTCAGTAAGGGCAATCTTGCCTTACTTTAGTAAAATTTAGTTCCTCCAAGATGACGACGTCCGACGACTGTGTGCTATCATCGTTGTTTCCGAAAGATTTCCCATATCCGGGGTAAACACCACGTTAGAAATATGTATCCAGTAGCCGTGATAATAACTAACTTTTGAGAAACCGATTTCAGCAGCCAGGTAATATTTTACAAATGTCATCCCTCAAACTCCTATATCACTCATTATTTGCCAACGCCGAGAGTGGGTGGAAAAAGTGGTCAATTAATAACATGAAGCTGTGATATGAGAGGCTGCTGCAAGTAACTGGTATCTGTTATTCCTTTAATACTCGCCGGTCGAAATGCTCAGTGGTTTGAGATGTAACTAGTCATAGCTTAAAACAGAATACAGTGGTGATTTTGCAGTAGTTTTCCATTACAGTCTTCATACAAGTGAGGTGACCTCCTTTGAGTGAATGGAGTCTCTCTTGGTTGTATTTTTAAATGAACTGTATCTCAAACCACACACTATTGTTTCCCATCAATAAAATGACCATACTAACTTGTTGTCTATTATTTCTTCATAAGATTATCATTTAGTCTGGGTGACGCATTCTTCTGGTGCCCTATTGCATTAGAATATATGTTCCTTAAAGAAAATAAACAATACACTCATTATCAAAAATTTGTAACTTAGTCTTTACAGTAGGCTCTTTAACATAGAGAGTTAAGGCCGCGATTCCAGATTGGTTATTGTCTTTTTCAGTTCCTATAAAAACCTATTTCTCCATGCACTGAACTAGTCTTTCAGTATAGGTTTGTACATATTTATCATAGTATCTGAAAGACATGAATAAATTACATGAAACAAAGTTCCACAGAAGGTTACATGCATTTAACACTTGAGTATATTTTCAAATTACTTGAAATCTCTAACAAAAGAGACGAATATAATAAATTCACTCCATCTTAATACGATTGTTTTTTCAACTAACCTCAACTGAAGGTAACAGTGAGCACGATTTCCCACACTGAAATAATCACATGTAGTGAGGACTTCAATTCCATGTGGAAAATGACCCTATTTGTAGATAAGAATATATGTATATACATGTATATAAATAATAATATTATAATAATAATTAACAATAGGAACAAATCCGAACATAACAACTGGGGTATCTGTTGATTAGAAAATATTAATATAACTTATATAACGTGTATATGGACTAAGTGAATGATCATATCAACATTCGTTTGGAATTGATGGTAGAAATTTTTTGTTAAGAAGGTGATGCTCTTGAAAGCTTACCATCAGGTACAGAGCTTTTTCTATCTGCAGTAACACAAGTGAAAATAATTAGTCAGCAAAATATTAAATATATCTAACCAAATCAGTGTCGTCGAAGAACTTGAAATCAGTAAATGATATATTTTATTTCGCTCTTGGAACAAAATAGATTTAGATCGTGTATTAAACATCCACATCAATCACAAACAATGTAAAATCTAGCACGAACGTGCATCGACCCGAATTCCCATAGTGTACATAAGTACAATCAAAATATAGTAAACAAGACAAAAAGAATGCCGAGATAATGGAAACTCTAACTTGAAAAATACAAATGAAGACAATGAAGGAAATCGTGAAATGACATCAAAGCGTAAGATTCACGAGAAAATAAAAAAATGAATACACTGGTGTCAATGGAACCAATTACCAACAAAAGATTACGATTGTCTCCCTTGTGATAGGACCCGACTGGACACACGGAAGTAGATAAGGATGTGTTAAGATCTGAAATTTATTGGTTGAAAGTCGAATCCATAAACCAATAAATAATACATCCTCGGGTCTATTTCTAACGTCAACTGAAATCTTCAGCTGCTCCGTAGTTACCATATTCCTTGAGGCAGAGGATATAGGATGACGTATAATTATTATCCAATCAGTAAGAGTAGATAGTAGAACCTAAGTACCAAAGACATTCCATTTTGCAAACAGTAGGATTTTTTATACCAACGTTTCGTGAAAAGTCAACGAGAACAAATTCTGATTTAGTGGCGTCTTCCCGGTCGTCTTGACTTGAAAACTGGTTATTATCATTGCTGCACACCTATCGATAAGCATGACAATTTAATTAATTTATTCAACGTAAATGGTGAAGTTTAACAGAACTTTGAATCTTTGGTGTTTGCACTGTCCGATTTTCTTCACGCATTTTATTTGTTAATTTACAAACAAGCAAACTCAAACTTTAGGTTAAGGTATACATAACAGGTGACTGAGTAAATTAATATTAGCGACTGTGATGACCAGGTGCATATTTGTGCACTCAGTTTTGATATACAGTTTACATATTAGGGTTTCGTGAAACTACTCGATTGTTCAAACCGAAGTAGGTGGGCTGGGAGTCGAAACTACGATCTAGAGACTAAAATTTAGTCCCTTTAACCACCAAGCTACTAGCGAACATATTCACAGACAGACCAGTGAAATTGTGGCTTAGTGCTTTTAACACGACTTTCAACAAATGGGCAGCTGATGTCAATCCAACTTTGCCTTCCTAGATTTGACCAGTTGATAGTGGGTCTAAGCTTTATTAAGTGGGATGTACGCATATTAACTTCAAGTTTTCCTCATGAGATAAAAAACAATATATGGTTTAAATTAATTCGTCCATATCATACATACACTAATTAACTGAGCTCTAAATGGCTGAAATGTTTGTGTTGTGTTAATATTACCACTGCTTTTGACAAAAGTAAGCGTTGATAGTAATCATACACGTTAATTCTGCGATATGATACAATGATATCAAAGCCTAACGAAATAATTCCAACAGTACTTTATGTGTTAATTAATAAAAACAGTACGATTAGCTGATTCAAAAATAAAAATTGTGGCACTAACCTGTCTACCCACATTCTCTTGAAATGCAGCAGACGCTGCTCGACGTACACTAACCTCTCGGTCGAATAGGCTAACCAAGACTAGAGAGCTTGCAATAGGAACGACATAATCCACGAAATCCTTAGGATGATATGTCCTTGCGAATGCCCAACACACATAACACCCAGCATCTCGAACATTTGATCCATAATTATGATCACCAGACCGCTCATCATAAAACAGAGCTCGTAAAACTACCGGGATTACCTAGAAATGAAAAGCCTATTATTTAATCAATATGTAATCAGAGGATAGTTAAAACAGTCAAGTTCGCAAATAATAAGTCTATTTTAATTCAATATATGAATATGATACTGGATCTGCACTGAATTTTCATACGTAAATCACTTCAGTAAGTAGATTTATTGGTCATTAATTACTCAATAACATTTCCTAAAATTATACTTGGTACCATTATCTGGGCAATATATATATAGTTTCATACAGTAAATTGAAGTAACCTTCAGTCTAATTATATGCCTCATTACAGAGGTGTGAAAGTAACACCACCTGTTCTTCTTCCAAAGGATATATCTGCTCATTGTCTTACAATTTACTGGACCAGTACTATCGTATTTTCAGAAATGCAATAATAATTCCAAGAACTTTCAAGACAGGACATAAAAGAAGCTAGACTTTTATGTCATAGATTGGCGGAATAGAATTTTCTCTACTCCATATTTTGATTCATGCTTCTACGCTACTGAAAAGTTTATTAAGTTTTTAGACTAATCAAAAGAAACCACTTAGACACTTTTTCATTGTAATTCTAAGGCGCTTGAAAATGTGAACAAACTGATAGTTTTTGTAAAATATTAATTTTTCAGTCATCGGTTGTGTTGCGTTTTAATATTCCGTGGCTGTGAAATATAAGGTTTTCAGGGTACGGGTAATATTTGTCATCGATTCGCACACTACCAGTAAAAATATGTCCCTATCATTGAATTAATCCGCTGTTAAAACAAAAAGATTTACTTCTGGTAATTTAGATGGTAAAAGAAGACTGCGACGGCCAAGTTCAGCCAAAGCAAGGCAAGCTCCATGCCATGCAGTATATGGTTCGAGTTTCGTACACAAGGACAATACAGCCGATAGAACATCATTTACCATTGAACTGGAAAGACGAGAACAAATACGTCCAATCCTAAGAAAAAAAGCACATCGATTGTCCACAATTTATGGAATGCAATTCTGTAAATATAATTCACTGGGATGAAACGAAATTCAGATATCGTTACTTTAGCATTTAATATAAAAATGGCTAGTGCCTATAAGTGACCAACATTCAGTGACATGATAAAACACTTAATCCTATTTGAAAAACAATGCGACACTAACATCTATCTAAAATACAGTTTGCCATAGTCTATGAAACTAGGCTTCATAGTTTATCAACGTCATTATATTAGGATACTTAGTTAAACTTAGTGGCTCCGTGTTGAAGGTACTGGAATCATGAATATTAAGCTCTTGATTTAAACCAAGTTTCATCTATCTTGGTCTAAGCAGCTGAGTAACACCACCAAGCCATGCATGTCGTGTGATATCAAGCTTACATGAACTGAGTTGTATTTGAGAACTGTATTTATTATCAGAGTTCAGCAACACTGGGAAGAGTTTAAGTGTAGAGTACTTTTAAATGTTTCATAATGTACATGTATGATGGTTTCTGATCACTGACTTATCTGTTCTTCATTTAAACTTTCTTGACTCGTTTTGTTTACCACCACCTTGCAATAAATTGGTAGTGGCAAGTCTGTTATACCTAAAGAAACTAAACATTTCTAATATTATGGAAAGTATACTCTTGCATAAACCACCAGTAGTAGATGTATTTATGTTATAACAATACAAGTGCTGAAAAATGAAGTGGGACATTTCATTTTAAACTACTAAATTAAAAGTAAACAGGAGGACGAACTCATACAAGTATACTGTAAAAAATAAATATGCTTCCTACCCTTTGGCAGCAGACCAACGAACCCCAGTAAACTGACTGCGTAAAGCGCTTATTAGTTTATCAATAACTTCTGCAACTTCGTCTGTGTTGGACAATTCATAGTTCATAGTTAATGAACAATCCCCAGAAATATCACTTGAGATATTATTTTGAAAACCTGTGTATAACGAATGATCAGCAACTTTTGCAGAGACTAAAGAATCTTTGTTGTCATGATTCATCAAAAGAGATTCTAAGTTGTCTTGTAGTGATCGACATCCTCGTTGGTACTGCCATGTTGTATTTATTGGTGGGCAAAATAACAAACAAATTCGTTGTAAAACTTTCGTTTCAAGACGACATAGAAGAATCCCCTTAGAAGAATCTCCAGGCAACTGAAGTACTGCACCCAAAAGATCACTCGCATAAGGTAACAATTCAGCGCGGCTTCCGAGTTTACATATATTAGCTATACTTCTGAGGGTGCCGCACACTCGCTTTTCGTCTTGTACGTTGATAACTAGGGTTAACATTTTTAAAAACTACTAGTTCAGTAAACGATATTTAAAGGTCAAATATAGTTGACAAAAAAAGTAGATAAATAAAATATATTTTAAATACTTAATTCGATTATTAAATGAAATCACTAATCCCATGAATCAGGAAAAATTCAAACAAATATATCGTGGGTCGATTATATATATATATATATATATATATATATATATATATATATATCAGCTGAAACAAAATAAGATGGTTGATTGATAATTTTCGTGAAATTTTAGAGCAATATTCCCCAACATAAGTAGAGCCTAGTAAAAACTGCACTGGCTAAAGTTACCAAACTTCACACTAGTAAAGTTAACTAGGTTTTGAAATAATAGTAATTTTAATGATAACAGATACCAAATACATAGGAGCTAATCATGGTTTTGCTTGTATTCACAGATTAGACAAGAGATGCTTGATCCCAGAGGCCACTTCAAAGCCAAGTAGATATGTTGTTTTTTTATTAATTTAAAGACCTTAGAGATAACCACTTCATGACCCTAACCAAGCCGCCAGGCTATGCACTCTACTTTTCAAGGATAGACTTCTTACGTGTAGTTAACCATTAAGCTCAAATCCACTTGGAAACATCACTTTTAGGTCTTAATCTTTTGCGTACTGTCTCGTTTTAAAATTTATGTGACCGAAGTATATTAATCATTTATTTCTAATCACATAATTCGTCGTAAATTTAAACTGTTTGTAGTGAATGAGGGTGTTATAACTGTGAAAAATAATGCTGCTGATTAAGAAGTAGCGAATTATTGATCGGACCAAAGACACGCAAACACGTAGAACGACCTAGGGTTCTGATTGGCCCCGCTTCCCTGTCTAGCCCAGCCAGTTAAGTCCAGAACGAAAGTCTCAGCCTCGGATATATGAATCATTATATTCAAACATACTTTGTTTATATACCAGTCAAGCAGACCACAACGTACCATAAAATAGAAAATAATATTGTACAATAATGGCCAGTAGGAAAAAGACACGTTAAACAAATACTGACCAATAAGATGATACCATTTCATGTCCAAGGATAGCATCAGGCTTAACAGGATAATTTTTGGGATATTTTCCTGAATATCCCAACAGAGGGGCCCTCAAATAAATGGTGGTTAGAAGTCTAACGCCTAAACCACTAAGCTCCCTTTATTACCATGGAAACTAAGAATGGCTCTAAATGCTTTACGCAAAACGAAATGACAAAGTTGTAAAGAAGTAAAACAGAATGTGGTACATACGAGTAGTAAATACTAAATCAAACTCATTCTAAGTTATGCCTGATAACATCCCAAAGCATAGAGTTTGCTATTTTGCATTAACTAAAAAAGTAGTTCATGACAGTTAAGTGGACATGAAACTAGAGCAACCAGTCTTTAATGAGCAGCGTGAGTTCGCCCCTAATTTATCCAGTTACAATGTCAGCAGATAACATTTACTAAACTTTCAGGAGCTCGTTTCCCACGGGTCAGTGGCTTGTTTGTGAAAGCTTTCAACCTTCAGTCACTAGATTCCACATTTAGAATATGGTATAGCAACTCGAACTGATGTACGAACATACGAAGTTCTACGTTGTTGCTGACTTATTGACTGACTGATTCCACATTTAGAGTGTGGCTCATACCTAAGTCTTAAGTAAAGAAGTGAATTATTTTACTTTATTTATAATTATAAAAATATGTACGGATATTTCCCACAGGATCCAGTCTTTCAGGTTTGTCCTATAAAAAATTAACGAAGACTATATGTACCTTTTATAACAATGTAATTTACTGGGTTTTAACCTTGATGCAATTGTAAACACCTAGTCAGTACATGTCATTCTCAGACTGCGAACTAAATTCGATAACTAGGTCATAAATATGTAGAATATTCTGTCTTATCGCCTAACCCTTTTATAGAAAGTGAAAAACTTTCACTACATATTTCAATAACGATGTCTAGTTTTATTTGGTACATTAAGTAGTCGTGTAAAGATATCCATTGGTATATAGCCGAGACCAATATCTCTGGACTATAACCAGTCCGTTTTTAAATCTATGACAAGCCATATTTATCACAAACCTCAATGGTGTCTTACGCTGACAGTTAACAAATATTTCTAATTATAGAGTTTGAAAAGGGTGTTACTAAGATCGTTTGTTCCACCAGTCAGTTACCCTGAAATAAACAAACAACCTACATTTATTACAATGGAAGACAATAGCCAGGGTGCAACATGAAAGCCTTCGGTATTTAAAGTTACCCAGAAATATTCTGCAAAAATCTGTAATATACTACCATCCTCAATTTACTTATCGCTTACTCATAGATACATAGAATACTGAACTTTTTAACTATGTGCGAGTTTATGTGCTTGACTTCAGCCACATCAGATGCGAGGTTAGTGATAGTACTCGACTGCCCAAACGACAAAGGGTGGTTTAATTCTATGATATTCTGGACCCGACCTTTGTTGCTACCTTGACGTTGTGGTCGGGCTTGCCTATCGTGATGAAGCAACCGAGCTATACTGGCTGGAACAACCGTTCCTCAAGGTCCTACCATGTCAGACAGGTCGGTTGAAGAGCGGTAAGACTAAAAGCAGCAAACCAAAGGTCCGAAGGCGAAGTCGTACTGCTGACTGTACAGAGGTATGTCAGCAGTAAGGTGTTTCCTTCAGACAACCAGCATGACAGCGATGCTGCCTTCCCACAAGGAGGGGTGGGGTTAAAAAAGGTCGACCCTAAAAATGCACACCTCGCCTTATCCCACGGATATCCATCTCCGGCGGTAAGGTCTCAACAAGTACGGAGCTAACACAAAAATTACCCATAAAAAGGTCGTGTGTGACCGACCTCAAGCAGTTGTCCCTTGGGCACTGCAGTCATGCTCTCAGGTCAGTAAGACCACCTCTAATCCAATTTTCTTCTCAGGTACCTCCAGAACAACCCTTCCACGGTGTGGGCAACCGGGAGGTGATAACCGCCCTTATATCTCTAACAGCACTCAAGACCACTGTATTCATAATCAACCTCCCTCATCACTTCCTATTATTCCTCCTACATCGACTTTCACCTTTAAACTTCCTTTTTCGGCTTCTCCCTCAAGTGTCACCATAGTCAACGATTCTAGTGCTCAAAACACTATCCCAGGTCTACTGAAACCTCGCTCCAAACTACACATCGGCGCCTTCAACGTACGTACCTTATGTCAAATCGGTCAACAGACTTCCTTGGCTAGAACCCTAGAATCCCGTACCATTGATGTATGCTGTGTCTCTGAAACACGCATACAGGATCCCAGTGTGGTCATTCACTTGACCTCACCTCGGCAACACGGAGAGCCAACGAGATACACCCTCCGTGTATCTGGTGACCCGATGGCCAGCTCTCGTGGACTGGCAGGAGTAGGGATAGCACTAAGCATGAGGGCGGAACAAGCACTGCTAGAGTGGATCCCCGTCAACAGTCGTCTATGTGCTGTTCGGCTAAACGGCTCCGTAAGAACTCGGAAGGATAGGGACACACGTCGTTGCCTTTTTGTCGTTTCTGCCTACGCTCCCACTGACTGCAGCTCAGATGAAATGAAAGATGAATTTCACAGAAAGCTATCTGAACTTCTTCAGAAAGCTAAACGTTCAGACATAGTACTCGTAGCAGGTGACTTTAATGCCCAGATAGGTAGTTTAAACCAAACAGAAAGGCATTTAGGTGGATATTTTAGTATTCCGGCACAGCGAACAGATAATGGTGATCGTCTGCTGCAACTGTGCTCAGACAATCGTTTATATTTTAGCAAACACAAATTTTAAGCATAAGGAGAGACATCGTCTAACATGGCGACCCCCTACACCAAACCAACGATGGACTCAAATAGACCATATTGCCATCAGTCATCGTTGGAGAGGGTCGGTAGAAGATTGTCGCTCATTCTGGAGTACCTGACTTGGACTCCGACCATGCCCTAATACGGGCACGCATCTGCTTGCGCCTCACTGGATGCGTAAAAGGCCACAGTAAAAAGACCCATTAGAACTGAACTGAGAAGCGAGAAAACCAAAAGTAGGTTCCAGGAACAACTGAGGTCACACTTAGGTAATTGTGAAGACGAGGCTGACCCAGATGTTGCTTGGAAAGCTATACAAACAGCAGTGACATTTACCAGTGATTTAAACCACAGGGTTACAAAGAAGCAATGGATTTCCTCTACGCCTATTGCACTGATGGATTCTCGTAAACTCATCCCATCAGATTCTGAACATGATGAAGAGCGAAAACAAATCAGGTCTAGGTTAAGCAAAAGTCTAAGGAGCGACCGTGAGCAGTGGTGGGTAACGAAAACAAAAGAGATGGAAAAGGCGGCGGCTATAGGGAACACAAGACAGCTCTACAGACTAATAAAAGAAACTGTAATTCATAAGTCAAGTGTAAGTCAGACTATTTCGGAAAAAGACGACACCCTCATCTGCTCTCAGTCCAGACGTTTAGAACGATGGGCGGAACATTTCAGAAAATAGTTCAGCTGATCTTCAGCTACTCTACAACTACCCTCCATTCCCAGACAGTGTGGATGGAACATTGAAGTAGGTCCCCCAACTCTAGTAGAAGTTCAAAAGGCTATAGTTAATCTGAAACGAGGAAGGGCAGCTGGTTTGGGAACTAGAGACTGTACCAACGTCATGGAATGAGTCGATAGTTATCCCTATCTTTAAAAAGGGTTCACGTCGTTCCTGTAACAACTATCGGGGGATAAGTCTACTTCCGATTGCGTCCAAGCTATTGGCTTCCATCATACTTCGTAGGTTGTTTAAAACCGGAGAAAGATTGACTCGCGAGGAGCAGGCTGGGTTTCGTTCTGGTCGAGGATGTATTGATCATATCTTCACCCTCCGCCAAATGTTAGAACATCGCCATACTTATCAAAGGCCAACAATCGTAGAGTTTCTTGACATCAGGGCTGCCTTCGATTCGTTGGATAGGACTGTTCTCTGGGATTGTCTATTGAAGAAGGGTGTGCCTGAGAAGTTTATTAACATCCTAAAAGCCCTATATACAAACACCTCAGGCAGAGTGAGGGCATACAACCACCTCTCTCCATTGTTCCATTCGAGCAGTGGGGTTAGGCAGGGTTGCCCAATCTCACCATTCCTCTTCAACTTTGCCATCGATGACATTCTGGAAACAGCTCTGATGAATGTAAGTAATGGTGGTGTGGATCTGTTGCCTGGAGAAAGACTTCTCGACCTTGAGTATGCGGACGATATTTTCTTACTGTGCGATAATGCCCAAGGCATGCAATCCGCACTTAATCAGTTGGCAATCAGTGTCCGTAGGTATGGTATGTGCTTTGCACCTTCGAAGTGCAAAGTACTTCTACAAGACTGGCAGGATTCCAATCCTGTACTCACCCTGGATGGTGAGCAGATAGACGTAGTCGAGAAGTCCGTGTATCTGGGTAGCTGCATAAGTGCTGGTGGTGGTGTGAGTGATGAGATCAATGCACGAATAGTGAAAGCCAGGGTGGCTTATGCCAATCTGGGCCACCTTTGGCGCCTTCGTGATGTTAGTCTGGCTGTAAAAGGTCGGATCTACAGTGCGTCGGTGAGAGCAGTTCTGCTCTATGCTTGTGAAACCTGGCCTCTCCGAGTTGAGGACGTTAGACGACTCTGTGTTCGATCATCGCTGTCTCCGAAGGATTGCTGACATTCAGTGGCAACACCATGTCAGTAATGCAGAGGCTCGGCATCGTGTGTTCGGGCACAGAGACGACAATTCAATTGGTGTCACCATCTTGAAACACCGACTTCGGTGGCTTGGACATGTTCTACGAATGTCGTCCCAGAGAATTCCACGTCGTGCATTATTTGCCGACTCTGGGACTGGTTGGAAGAAGCGGAGAGGTGGTCAGTGCATGACATGGTGTCGTGGTATGAAAGAAAGCTGCAAAGGACTGGTTTGTGCCGGTCCTTCACGACTCCCTGGTTGGGGTCTGAGAGATGGTGCTACACAGTGGCTAGAGACGTTATCAGATATGGCTCAGAATAGAAGCCAGTGGCGATCCTGCTGTAACCTTCTTTTACTTTCTTCATAAAAAGTGATTCTATCTCCCTTACCTGAAAGATTTCTTCCGATTGTACCTTTGCGTTCCCTGATTACTAGCACATTACCTTACACCAATCTCTTCGTTATTGTTCTCTGTTTTTTTTGTTGCGCTCCTTAGCTTTTTTTTCTTTCTTTGTATTCCTCTTGAATTTTCATTGTTTTGTGTGGCGCATATATATTGGCGCTCTCTTGTACCCTTAAACTAAGAGATTAAAATCGCTTCATATCTTTCTTTCTACGAACTAATTCTTCCTTCCTGTACTATATCCTTATTGCAATTTTTCTTTTATATATTACCACCTCTGAGTTAACTACTTTCATGAATCCGGTGTCCATCTTGTTGTGTTAATGAGGTATGACAACTTGGACCGATGCATAAATGTGCCTGGTCCTACGTTGTAGCTGACTGACTGGCATGATATTCTGGAATTAGTAGCCAACGACGGATGAATCTTTGCTGCACAATAACAAAAACAGAAAATTCGCGCACAATTTACGTTCCAATGATCAAATTTAACTTTGAAAAAGTCGTAATGATACAAACATACAGGGATATTAAAGAAATACAAACGTAACGACTGGAGTGTTTCAACAAACAGATTAACACGTTTCAGTCAATCTATACCACTGTTTAATAAAAATCCAAAGACTTCACACTTACCATCAGTAAAGCCTAGATTTTTAATTGCAAACGAAATTACTGATGGTAGCTGGGCATGAAGTGCATCTGGCCGGGTAACAGTATGCGCAAGAAGGAAAGCAGCTGCTTCTTGAGTACGCTCATCCTGAAAAAGGTAGAGCTTGGCTAAATCAATTACACGCTCAATTATAGGTTTTTTTCCAAAACTGTCAAGATTTCCCAAGTTGAATGGGACCATTACCAAGATTGATAACCAAAGGATAAGAACATAGCGCGTCTCCCAGTTCTAGGGATGGATTTACGTGTTGGAAACACACAAACAGTACCTTTGAATCATTTATATCTTGCTCCATGAGAAGACTCAAAGTTGGTTCAATATCATCAACCGTATGTGGCATCAAACGGATAATGGCCTTGTAACCTCGGGTTTTTGTCATTAGATATAAGATCCTGAACGCGAAGTGAAAAACTTCAGGCTCTGAGCGAGAACAGTGCACAACATCCAGGCAAGCTGATATCATTTTTCCAAGATAAGGATCAAGCAGATGTGGCTGCTCCTGGTAATAGTTGAATATTTCTATCTATCAACCAAGGGAATGTAAAATACATACGGACAAGTGTATCCTCCAAGTTCTCTTTCTTGCGAAAATCCGACAGTTCAAACTTTATGTTTGATATCAACTTCATAACCTGATCATAATGTCTGAACTCAGTAAAGACAAAGCACTCCTTCTCTTCAGACACATTACCAACAGTAGCGCACATGTTTGTAATGTATACACGCAATTTGCCATCAGGTAATGAGTTTTAAAACCTTTGTGCCTTTGTAGGTTTTTATTCCAGAAAACAATAGAAATAAGCGCAACAGATCACTTGTATATTAATAATGATCAGGATACTTTATATTTTGTTAGATCATTAAGAAAAAGATCTGGCCTAGTTGATCTAGTAGTGTAGCCGAAATCGTAAACATTTTTACTACTCCACGTGTCATTGTCAGCCTTTATGGCTAAGAAGTCCGAAGTTTTGAATAGCAAGCTGTTTGCAGCTCACTTATCTACTTACGCCTGTTACTCCTCTTAAGGTAGCACAGGCCGCTCACCAGCATTCTCCAGCCAACCTTGTCATGAGCAATCCTTTCCAGCTCCTTCCAGTCATTATTCATCCTTTTCATATCTGCTTCGATTTCCCGACGTAATGTGTTCGTTGGCCTTCCTCTTTTCAGCTTCCCTTCAGGATTCCAAGTTAGGAATTGCCTCGTGATGCAGTTTAATGATTTGCGTAATATATGTCTTATCCATTTCTATCGTCTTTTCTTAATTTCCCCTTCAGCCGAAAGTTGGTTTGTTCTCTCCCAGAGAAGGCTGTTGCTGATGGTAACCGGCCAACAACGGACATTGAGTATCTTGCGTAGACAACCATTTATAGATACTTGCATCTTCTTGATGATGGTTGTAGTAGTTCTCAGAGTTTCAACTCCTTGCAGTTGAACTGCCTTGACGTTCGTATTGAAGATCCTCACTTTGATATTGGTTGGGAGTTATTTTGAGTTCCATATGTTCTTCAATTGTAGGAATGCGACCCTTGCTTTACCAATCCTCGCCTTTACGTCTGCATCTGAACCTCCTTGTTCAGCGATGATGCTTCGCAGGTATGTGAAGGATTCTACATCTTCCAGAATTTTGCCATCAAGAGTGATTGGATTGCTGTTCTCCGTGTTGAATTTGAGGACCTTGGTTTTCCGCTTGTGTATGCTGAGGCCTACTGATGCAGAGACTGCTGCTACACTGGCTGTCTTTATATGCATTTGTTCATGTGTATGAGATAGGAGGGCTAGGTCATCTGCGAAGTCCAAATCGTCTAATTGGTTCTGAGCTGTCCATTGTATGCCGTGTTTTCCCTCAGATGTCGAGGTCTTCATAATCCAGTCAACCACTAGAAGAAAGAGGAAGGGAGAGAGTAGGCAGCCTTGTCTGACTCCGGTCCCTACTTGAAATGCATCTGTCAGCTGTCCTCCATACACGACCTTGCACTGTAGTACGTCATATGAGTTCCGGATGGTATAAACAATCTTCTTCGTAGTGTCGAAGTTTCCATAACGTCCTCTTATCTACACTGTCAAATGCCTTTTCATAATAAATGAAAATGATGTACAGTGACGAGTTCCACTCAATTGATTGTTCAACGATGATCCGTATTGTCGAAATTTGGTCCGTGCACGACCGATCCTTACAGAATCCAGCTTGTTGATCTCGAAGTTGGACGTCTACTGCATCTTTCATCCTATTCAGCAACACTCTATTAAAGACTTTCCCTGGTACTGACAGTACTGTAATGCCTCTGTAGTTTTTACATTTGCTCAAATCTTTTTTCTTTGGAATCTTGATGAGGTGTCCTTCTTTCCGGTCCATCAACACTTGTTCCTCCTCCCAAATCTTTTTAAATAGAAGGTGAAGCATGTTTGTAGTTACTTCGATGTCTGACTTCACTGCTTCAGCTGGTATATTGTCGGGTCCTGTTGCTCTACCGCTCTTGATTTGTCTGATGGCCATTCTGATTTCTTCCGTCGTTAGTGAATTGACATCTATGGGAAGATCTGTGTGTGCTGCTTCACTGTCCGGTGGATTCATTGGAGCCGGCCTATTCAGGATTTCCTCGAAATACTCTACTCATCTATCCCTCTGTTTTTTTATTAATAATGGCTTTATTCAATATTATATTTTAGTACACTATAGAATTCTCAGCACAGGGTATATTCAACAAGTTACTTACTGAACAACGAACAAAAAGGCAGTAGCAAACACAAAAAGAAATTTAAAAAAAGGTTTTTAAAAAAATAAAAAATTTAAAAAAACCAAAAAAACTGTACAAACTTTTTAAAATTAAAGACATGTTAAGAATGTATGTTATAGACTAGGTTAACTCTAACAACCTGTTCGTCACAGAGTATATTTGCTAGGTAAGGTATTATAGAACTTTTATACTTTTCCTTGCGTGCATGGATTTTAATGTAATTATGTCTCGTTCTACTGGAGGATATACAAGGAGAAAGATAAGAGTGGAGGGGATGGCTAGTATCTGATAAAATAACACCTGCCAGGAGTTTGCATGATTTTAAATGTCTATCCACAACCATATTAATTATGACCTCGAAAGATTCACCACATATCTTGCTAACTGCCTTCAGCACTCTTCGCAATACAGCAAAGTCTTTTCTCAAAAGCCCGGGAAAGAATAATGGAGAACAGTAAAGAATAATAGGTAATATGCAAGAATTGACAAATTGTAAGAGTAAATGACGAGTAATTCCAAGAGCATGCAATCTCTTTATGTAGTAGGTCAGACGGAAAACCTTCTTCGATAACGATAAAACGTGGGAAGACCAAGACAGATCAGAGGAAAATGTGACACCAAGATAATTGACCTTCGACACTGAGTTTATCAAAGGGTCTCCGATGGTACAAGCACTATGGGATCTCAAAATAGTATTTATATTCCGTTTATGTCACATGCTAAAGTTAACAGCTTGACATTTAGACGGATTAAGTATGAGACCATTACCAACAGACCAACAATCAATACGAGACAAAAACTCACTCATTTCTATGGGATGTAAAGAGGAAGATATAGGCATACATACAGTGAGATCATCCGCATACTTCACAAAAGTGTTTTCTGTGGAAGATGGCAGGTCATGAAGAAAAAAAGAGAATAGAAGAGGTGAAAGAACAGCTCCTTGTGGTACACCTTCATGAGATAGTACAGACTCTGAACTCTTTCTTCCAAACACAGTGTACTGTTCCCTTCCAGAGAGGTAGAAACATAGCCAGTTGATTATCCAGCTGTCAGTGTTGACGCTGATTAACTTGTTAAGTAAAGGTTGTCTTGGTATAGAATCAAAAGCTGAAGTATATTCCAGAAGAGCACGTCGAACATACTTCTTACCCTTTTCTAAGTTGAACACTATGTTGTGATGCAGAACTGCAACAGCATCTCAAGTGCTTCTTTTGCGCCTGTATGCAAACTGGTGTGGGTCAGTATGCTCTTTTATCGTAGGCTGAAGTGGAAGTAATAATAATTTTTCCATGGTTTTGAGGAAGGGTGAAGCTATTGCAATAGGTCTAAATTTTACATTCTTATCACCAAATGCTTTCTTGGGTACAGGAATTATCTTCATCTTTCTCCACATTTTCGGTATGAGATTAGATGAGAAGGATCTGTTAAATATAGTTGTGAACGGATGACACAGAACGTCAGCACATTTTTTAAAATGGATATTTGGGATACCATCAGGTCCGAAACATCGAGATGAATTAAGCGACTGGAGACATCCTCGTACATCAGTTTCAGTGAAAGTAGTAACACAGCTAGTTTTTAAACCCGTGGATAGAGGTAGCATCACATCAGATGACTGACGTACAAAAAACTTATTTAAGTCACAAACATTCAGCTGATTATCGCTTCTAAACTGTCTGTCACCTGTAAGTTCTTCAAAGAATTTCCACATACTTGTAGAGTTTTTGCAAGATATGAGCTTTTGAGTAAACATACAGTTGAGACGTCTAATCTCTAGGTTTATCAGACCATTTAGTTTACGAACTTCATTAGAGTTCTTCTCCTTGTACATGCTTTCTTTCATCCTTCGTAGTCGTTTTAGTTGTGAAGATGCAAGTCGATCAAAACTTACAAAAATGGTTTCAGTGGGACAACAAATAACAAAACAGAATTTAAGGTAACAAGTGATAACATCAGTAGTGTTTTCGAGTGAGTCATCTGTAAATAATTCCCAGTTAGTCGTATGAAACATGTTTTTCAGATTTCGGATATTTTCTTCTGAGTAATTCCTATATTTGACTTTCCTGGTTTGACGTTAGAGTGTACTCTTCCCATGCTTTCCATATACTTTAGGTAGAACACGAATTATACAGTGATCTGAGCTAGACAATGGAGTACGTTTACGAGTCGCATATATACCCACATCATTAATGAAGACGAAGTCTAGATGAGCATCCAGACGGGTACGAAAATCTGCTACCTTTTGGTGACCTAGTGACGTAAGGAATCTACAGTCACATGAATTGAAATCACCACATACAACTGAAAGTGAATCACTGAAGGCAGTAACAGCGAACTCAGTGAATTCATCAGCAAAAACAGATAGTGCAGATGATGTGCAATCTGGAGTCACGTAGATATTGGTAACATAAACATATTTGTATTTATTCAGATGTTTTGGACGACATCTTAGAGTTAGACAGTCGATAAAGTCATTTGAAAACTTAAAACACACAAACGAAGATCGACACCAGTTTATGTTTACAAACGCAGCTACACCGCCACCACACGTTTTTTTGTTGTTTGATCGATGCTGATGATAAATTTTGAAATCACGTAGTGATACTAGACAGTCATCCTGTAAATTATTCAACCAAGATTATTGAATTGTGATGATACCACAATTGCGATACATATTTTGACTTAGGGGGAATTGCAGATAGTCCACTTTGTTGATTAGTGATCG